AAAACCTGGAGCAAAGCCATGACTAGTCCGGAGGCCGTGCAATGGAAAAAGGCTACAGATGAGGAATTTCGCTCCCTCAAAGAAAAAGGAGCCATAAAAATCATTCGCCGCACAGAACTTCCACAAGGACGCAAACCTATGAAATGCAAATGGGTATTTAAGAAGAAATTTAGAGCAGATGGCAGCATCGAAAGGTGGAAGGCTCGTTGTATAGCGAAAGGCTTTACCCAGCGTCAAGGCATTGATAACCATGAAACTTTCGCTCCTACACCACGACCGGAAACTGGTAGAATCATGCTTGTGCTAGCCCACCAATTTGGCTGGCACCGTAGGCAAGGTGATGTTCCAACCGCTTTCTTAAACCCTGACATTGACATTGACCTTTACATGGAAATGCCCCAGGGCTATGAAAAAGAAGGATGCATAATTCTCCTTCGCAAAGGACTCTACGGTCTCAAGCAGGCAGCAGCTCTGTGGTATGATGATGCCAGAGCAACCCTTGCTAGATTTGGTTTCCACCCAACTACATCAGACGTATGTCTATACACCAACGCCCACCAAGATGTATTCGTGGTTATGCATGTAGATGATTTCCAGGTGATGGGTCCTAACTTAGGCAAGATAGAAACACTGATGCAAGCTTTACACAAGAGATATAAGATAAAATCGGTGAGCACAGACTTGTTTTTAGGCATCCATATCAGTTACCCCAGAAAAGATATCCTAGCATTATCACAGGGTCAATACACACGCACACTGATAGATCGACACGGCTTAAAAGACTGCAAACCTGCTTCAACACCCCTTGAGCATCTAATGCTTCCAAGCAATAAAGAAAGCACACCAGAAGAGATTACAAGATACAACTCCATTATAGGTGGCCTGCAGTTTCTCGCAAATAGCACTAGACCTGATATCGCCTTTTCTATCAACCACTTGGCGCGATTTTTGACAAACCCCTCAGGTGAACATCTGCATGCAGCTCACCAGGTGCTAAGGTATCTCTCTAAAGAGTCGGATCGAGGAATCACCTTCAACAGATCAATAGGTAAACCCTCACTTAAAGCTTACACGGACGCAAATTTTGCAGCAGATCCATCAACAAGCAGATCAACTTCCGGATCGCTGATTATACTAACTTCAGGACCAATAAGTTGGCAATCCCATCTTCAGCGGGAAGTTGTTTTGTCTACAACTGAGGCTGAGTATCTTGCTGCCACCGAAACATGTTGTCAGCTACAGTGGACAAAATTGCTTCTGGAAGAGTTAAACATTACTGATCACATTGAGGGAGCAAAATGCACCAAGTTGTATGTGGACAATCAATTGGCAATTTCCCTTATCAAAAATCACGACAATCACAGAAGATCAAAGCATATCTCACTTAGGAACTTCTATTGTTGGGAGCAGCATCAAAAGGGATTGATTGATGTGTCCTACGTGCCTTCTTCTGATCAACTAGCTGACTCACTGACCAAGCTTAAATCATCAGTCGCTATTCAATAACTTAAGGAGCTGTTACCAACAGGGGGAGTGTTGTGCCTAGACCCACATAGCTACAGTGCACAGCTCCAGTTATGATGGTCACGCAACTGCATGTGTTTGCTCTGTTTGCTCCTGCTTTTTTGAGTTAGTATCATTAGTAAGCAATAGTCTAGGGACTATAAGTAGAGAGCTTTCCTCCACAGTAGATAGAGCAAGCAATTCAGTCTTTCCTCATTCCACAGAGATCATTCTCCACTCCATTTCTTGACCTGTCCGGCCCAGCAGCCCATCTGTGATCACTAGCAGCAAACTCCCACAAATTGTATGTACACCCAAATCATAGACCTATCATAACATGACACGACAAATTGGCTTACTCAATTCACATGCCTCGCACAACTCACCAGGACGGATGTTAGACTTGTCCATGCTGTCCGCGTACTTCATTCCATGGGTGAGCTGACTAGTCTTTCTGACATTTTCAATATTAATGTGTCCGAGGCGACAATGCATCAGCTTAATATTGGGTTTGATATCTGAAAGCCCCGCTGGGTACAAAACGTTCGCGTACTCGTCAACTGCTTCTTTTATAAGACAGCGTGCATCAGTATATAATAGAATGGACCCTTTTGGCGTCTTCACATATCCATCATGGATTTTGCAGCCCGCCGAGTAATTTCTTTCCACTGACTAGATTGGTGGAAAAGCCTGGGACGTAAAGACATTTTTTCAATTCTATAATTTGATGTCTTCCTCCTTTTAAGGCAACAATCAGTTGCATTGTTCCATAAATAATAAATAAATAATCCATTTATGTCCTATTTGAGTTTATAACTATGTAGGACAGACTATTTAAATACAGCTTATCTTTTCCATTCGAATTAGGGGTTTCTTTAATTTGATGGTGGGATCCCCATTACTGGTTCACCAGTGCATTGTTCCATGACCTTTAGGTGTGACGCTTCCTCCGCCACATTGTATTGGCCTCAAGCCAACCTCCTCCTCATAGTGAGTGAATCTGTCCAGGGATTTGGCTATATGCTCATCTGACCTTGTGTTGTTAAGCCAATGGTTGTTCCAGTGAGTTTTTCGTATTGTGTAGGTGGAGGGGTTCTGACCATCTGAGGTTCCGAGCGCGCGTTGTATACTTAGTATACAATGCGCATGGGTGTAAGATTGGGGTGATATCACGTGGTGTCTCGTGGCTCCTAACTACGACGGATCTTGTGTAGAGCTTGAGACTAATACATGAATTCTATATCCTCTAAGTGTAGGATATCTCTACGCCTATATACATCAATCACTCCTTACCCCTCAATGCTGAGGTGATCTATCATTATGATTATGTAATGTTATTGTGCGACTTCCCATAACCCTGTAAGTCTTTTCTGGATCCACACATCCGAGCAACTGCTGTTGAAATATGATATATCTTGGAATGCCAAGAATAACTTATTAGTAAGTCCGGCTAATTTGACTATCAAATTCCCCATTCTATATCACTGTTATCAATACATCATTCACCGAAAGTTTAATGCGCATTAGCGTTTATTTCACACTAGCATTCCAGCGGATGACTATGTCTCAAATGCAGGTTATAGTTTTCTCGTATCTATTACCGACACACATGTATTTAGCTTTATATTCCTGACCCATATATGTTTATGTACATAGATCTACATCTACATGGATCATAACTTACGATCCATGGAGATTGATAAATACTGGTCAAAAACCACAGTTGATAAGATATGCGAACACGCAATCTCACTCTTATCATCTCGGTTTTACTCTGAACCATACATCTAAATACAATTGTTTCCACTCGGCTCTTCCTCTCACAACCTCATACGAGACTTACTGCATCGGTCTAACCGCCGACACTGATTCCGCTACAACCTCCATCTTCGCTCAAGCTCATAACTTTAACAAATCTCGGCTCTGCAGACTCTACAGCGAGAGCTGGAGGTTCGTAGGGGACACCGCTGACAGGTGTTGAGAATAGTCCCTCTACTGACAACTAGAGATAGCTTGTACATGGGTGTTGTTGCATGTCACATTGTGCACCTACCTTTTTCTTTGGGTGGCGTAGATATTTTGTCAGCTGCAGTGCTGGCTTGTCATTGAAGTATGTGAAACAAACAGTCCATCAATGCATTGATGCGAGCTCTAGCGAACAGGCTACTAGTGCACAATCAACTGCGAGTATCCGGGAGGTTAAAGTCAAGGCGTCTCTTGTTTAGGTTAGTGATGTGCCGGTGATTTTCACTAGTCAAGGCATTCACAAACTCTACAACCTCGATCGGATATGGCACATCAGATGCTTCGATCTGTCGCCAGTGTCTAGCACAGTTTTTTTCGTGGCTCGATGTGCACGTCAGCATACCATACCATAGGAGGGCAAGACTGAACACCTGTACGCGGTGTCCTCTACGAACCTGGGAGTGAAATATTCTCCCAGAGCCAAATTCAGTCAAATTTCGCAATATCAAAGAAGTTGGCCCACGAGGCAAAATTTAAAATTACTCCACCACGTCGTTTTTCCGCTCCCAACGAGTTTGACGCCTACCTTAGTCTTATCAAGTCTACAAGTACGACCTAGTACATCCTCATCCCAATGACCACACCTCTCTTCGACCTTCTCTGGTCTCAGTTGACCACCAAATACACGCCCACGCCGATATTTATACCCGACGGAGGAAGCAAAGCGTGGTGCACAAATCTGGGAGACAGTTCTTCGGGATGGACGTGAGAGGGATCAGGACAAATTTACAAGATGATGCAAAGGAAGGATATAACCTTGAAGGGAGTGAAATTCCGAATTTTGGCAAGCAGTTTTACGAATCGAGCTTTGTGCGCGCCAAGACTTCGCTTGTGAGAGTGCAGCTGACACTATAAAAACAAGCCAACGATGGAAGGTGTCGTGGTCCGCCTCCTGGTGGTGTTCTCTGGTATGGTTTGAGTAGCCTGGGCACCTACTCCACTTGGGAAAGAGACACCCCAGATCACATATCGCGCGGAGAATAGTTGAAAGATGATGAAGGCATGTCTGGATAACTCAGGGTTTTTGAGACGTTCCCCTGGGTGGGTATTCACGGATGAGGGTTGACTTGGGGTGAAGAAAAAGCCACCATAACTTCGCAGTGGTACTTGCAAATGAAATCTGAGGCATGAGTGCTCTTCCTTTACGTTGAATCATCTATTCTGTACTTTTCTTTGATATTGTGTCATAGCTAGATAGCTGCATACGCAATTAAAATCTGATGCAAAAAAAAAAAAAAAAAAAAAAATACCATACCATAAACAGTGTTCTTGATTATAGCTCATCAGTACTGCTGAAACCAAAATACAAGTCCCAGTCAATGAACCACCACATAGAATATGGGCTCACCAAACTGCAACGTACATATACGTTCAACCTCCCACAAAATGGTCTACAATTACAAGCATCAATCCATGAATATTATCTGGCATCAAAAATCATACACCTTGATGTCAACTAACATAAATTCGACATGATTTCCTCATCTCAGCTTGCCATCATTATTGTAAGTCCTAAAAAAGAGCCAGACTGGCGTCTGCATAGTCACTAGACAATACCAGCTAACTCAACTCAACAGGCAGCTAGTCTTATCTTTATCTTCTTACGGGCAATCTACAGTCTCCATACTCATCCCTTAAGAAAATATCCCGGACCACTTCTCAACAAATTGACCTACATAGTGAAGGCATATTATCTACTGCGCGGCGATTACGTCTTTTATCTTCAAACCCTTCACAGGAAGTATGGTCATACCGTCTGTGTATCTCCAACCGAGCTATGCTACATTGATTCACAGGCATGGACTGAAATATACGGACATCCCACTACAAGTAAATCGGGAAATTTACCTAAAGACTCAAGAAAGCTACGGTTCGAAGAGAATGGTGCGGCTAACATCTTGTCTGCTAACGACGCTGATCACCGCCGAATTCGTCGGATCCAGACTCACATGTTCTCTGAGAAAGCTCTTACTGCGCAAGAGCCGCTCATAATGAGCTATGTCGACCTACTCATCTCTCATCTACAAGACAAAGCTAACCATTCATCCACTAGTGTAGTGAATCTTGTAGATTGGTTTAATTACACTACTTTTGATATTCTTGGAAAACTCACATTCGGGGAATCTTTTGATTGTCTTCAGTCCAAAGCCCTACACCCGTGGATAAACAACATATTTCTTTTTATCAAAGATTCTCTGTACTGGGCTGCTTGTGACGATTTCCCTTGGCCTCTGGATAAGCTGTTATACCGCTTAACGCCTAGCGAGACCAGGGATGCGCCGTTTCAAGCAACTGACTTCGCGAACCAAAAGGCTCGTGCGCGAATGGCACGTGACTCATCTGAACTGGTTGATTTCATGTCCTACATTATGAAGCATAACGATGAAAAAGGGTGTGTTTAAATGAATGCTTTCCGATATTTTTTTCTGACTACAGATAGCATGACAAAGCCAGAAATTGAGAATAATGCACAATTTCTGATTCTAGCCGGCAGTGAGACTAGTAGGTTTATGATCCAAGTATAAGTACATCCAAAAATTTCGTTAAAATTTTTAATAGTATCTTCATTTCTTTCAGGACTCACCTTTCATCTTCTGACCTATCCACAACATCTCGTTAAGCTCACTTCTCTCATTCGAGATACATTTAAGACGTCAAGTGAAATAACCGGCCCGGCTCTTGATCAGCTCGAGTATTTCAATGTCATCATTGAAGAGAGCTTCCGCCTCTATCCACCTGTCACTATTATAACGCCACGTTATACTCCCACTGGTGATAGAGTGATTTGTGGTGAGGTTGTGCCAGAACATATTTCCATCTCGGTGTCAATAATAGCAGCAAATACTAGCCCAGATCTTTGGACTGATCCCGATGATTTTGTACCTGAAAGATGGTACAAAGACGATAGATGCCCCGAAAAGTATCGAAGCGATGAGAGGAAAGTGATGCAGCCCTTCAGCATCGGTCCAAGAAATTGCATCGGGCAAAAGTAAGTACCTCAGAGCCTCGTTTCCGCTCCACAATTTCTTTTACGTGGTAGCTTATTTAATCATAGTATGGCAAAACACGAGATTCGCCTCATCCTGGCAGCCATTCTGTGGAACTTCAATCTTGAGCTTCAGCCAGAATCTCTTGATTGGAAAAAGAGCCAGAAAGTATTTGGATTATGGGAAAGACCAGCACTGAAAGTTAGGTTGATTCCAAGGGATTATATTGGTTGAATTTAAGATACAAAGATTGTCTATATCCAAGTAGTCCCCTGATTATTACACTCATTTCCAGATTGAAAACTAGCCATAGTAACTTCGAGCCACTTGAAGAAACCGCCTAGATACTTGTCTAACTCCACAATATAATTGCACTGGCGGATAAATATATAGTTCGATATTCTCTTAAGATAAATGGGGTAAAAATCATTAAACTGTTGGAATTAATACGGGGCAGTTTCACGATCGATCGTAATGATTTAGTAAAGAGTTGTACGATTCTGTGTTGGTCTAAATGTTCATAAAATGTCCTGTCTTCTATGCTATGCAGGATTCACAGCTTTACTGTGGATCCTGGCTAGCGCATCTATGTAGATCCAGAAGATGCGGATCATAGTACCCCCGTGTAAGGTGCGGAATAACTATTGCACACACTACTTCTGTATTATTACTATTATTATTTCATTTTAATGTCCCGTCTGAGTCTATGACTATATAGGACATGCAGGTCCTCTCTGCCTATAGGCCAAGGATACTTATACCAGTAGTATATCCCCTCCTATGCCTCCCATACAGCTCCCATCAAACAGTACCACCCCTCACAAGTCTTCATTCGATCATACACTTAGAGGAGCTCTTTACCATTCATTCTCTCCCCTCTCCAGCCAACGAAACGATGGCCATTTGCGGGTGTATGGCAGCCGGGAAAAATCGCAAAAGCCACTGGGTGCGGAGCTCTCCTAATACCGACATTTGGACTAAATCCGAAGACATAGTGCCCATTCCGAAGCGTTCGAAGAGGCCGGCCAGCTGGGCGCTGCAGACTTGCGGGTACCTCGGGAAATTCACACTCTACCTTTCTAGCCTCCTTCCAACTATTCCCCGAAGGTCGTGCCGAAATGTCAGAAAAGTCTTGACAGAGCGTGATTGCTGTATAGTAGCTTAGCCTAGCTTCTTTTGTACCGTCCAGTGCGCTGGGGAGTGCCGTGGACTCATCGACAGAAGAAGCCCTCTTGGCTAATTAGCCGAAATCTCGGTCTTGGCGCCCACAAAAAATCCAAAGTTGAAAACTCCTCGAAGATGTCAGTCCCAACTAAGTCTTCAGACACCTCTTTCCCCTCTCGCTCCACATCCCAGCCGCCTGTCCTTCCTCAAGATGTATGACCCCATTAGAGCAGCAGTCCCCTGTGAGAGCCGTAGGAGATCACAGGTTGACAAATGACAAAGTCGAATTGGATAAAGACTATATTCAAAAGATTCTAAACTAAAGAGTAAAAGGGAAGGGAAAGTATCTAGAGATCTACAACTCTACATTATCTACGCTGGTCTGTGCGCTACAAACAAAGAACTCTAGCAATATCTTATGTGAAGTGAATGTAATGTGGATATAACAACCCTATCTAATGATCTAGGGTGGAACCGTCACATCCCCCATAAACCAAGACCCCAAATTTGTATATTATGACTTAATTTCCTCCTTGCGGGTATACGTAGCGTCGTAAGTTTGTAGTGAGTGATGGCCGGTGATGAATGAGGCAAGCTCCTGTTTGCAATTGGGGTGACGCCTTTATCGGTCGGCGAGGCGAGATGATATGTGGTTAGATCGGGGTTGAGGACTCAGAAGATATTGGTGAGTGCTGCATGATTGAGAAGTCATCAAATGGAGATATGCATGTGTTTGCTTTCGACTTCGATTCTTCTTGGCTATCCCAGATATGCAGAGCATACTGAGCGATTACACCGGCACCACTGGAAGGTGAAGAATTCGTCTTTGCCGGCACACTACTTCTGTAGAGTAGTAGCTTTTAGATATACAGGATACTCACCGTACAAATCACAACAGATCTTTACATGCAGATATACATGTACAACAAGGGCCTAGTGATATTGGTATTCAAGCCGCACATCTATACTGAGGTCACCATGTGATCCCCACATGATGAGATATCTACTTTGACGCTTTAGATAATATTACAGGCTAGTGCCTTGTTTAGTTGTAACCGGAGTTTATCCGGTTCATTTATCGAGAAGTCTCAAGGTACATGGCTTGGCTGGATTAAGGAGTTATGTAAAGGATTGCATAAATCCATACGCGACGCGCGGTATTGAGTAGATAAGCATGTAGTCTTCGTAGTGTGTGTTGTTGTTGTTGTTTTATTCAAGTCCTAAGCTAAAGCTCCAAATCCACTATGAGTACAGGACCGATGTTCACAGCCAGAACTACATCTAAGACATACCCAGCTTGATTCCACCGCATGAACCACCACAAAACCAGCAGTAAGTTAAAAATATGCGCCGACGCGAACTCCTTTTCCCAAAATTAACAAAAGAAAAAGATAAATTGCAAATAATTTAGAATGGGAAGCAGTACTCCTCGCCTCGATTCCCATTTTGTCAGGTTTAGTTTCCTGACGAGTTATATTCGATCTCCACTGAGAGTAGGAGATGGATGCACAGGAGAATACCCAAAACAATTGGTATCCTGCGCAAATTGTTTGAAGCTCTCGAAGCAATTAGGCCCGAGTAGCTTGTGTAAGAAGGCACTATGTTACAATGACCCTCTGATTCGACGCGTGATGTTTGCGTTGAGTCGACAATGTATGAAGTGGGTAGGGGTAGTTTCCTCCCCACAGGTGCACTCTGTTATAGCGTGTAGATTGTTGAAGCGACAATGGTACGCCGCGAAATTGCCGTGGCCCGTACGGGCTGCAATGAGATGTCGTAACTGTAGCCTGGAAAGCCCCAGTTCTGGTGGTTTACGACGGCGCATGAGCAGATCTAGCTCACGATACCGTGACGGGCAAGTTTCATTCCACCAGCTGTCGAGCAAAGTCTGTCGCTGTCGATGCAATTTTTGGTGTAAAAATGCTGTCGTGGTGGTTGCTGGCTCAGTTTCCACGCTGGGAAGCGTTCGTAGGGCGGATTTGGCCGCTGCATCTGCTTCCTCGTTTCCGTGTATCCCCGAGTGTCCTGCTACCCACGTTATTCTTACCTGAGCTTGCCCAGACAATTCGCGAAACTTTCGTACTTCCTTGTGGCTGGTCGAGGACCTGCCCGTGCTCAGTGCATTTATCGCATGTCGACTATCCATGAACACATTAATGCACTGCGTCGTTCCCTTCGCCAGGTACTCCTCTCCTCTTAGGTGACCCAACGCTGCTTCAAGAGCTTCCAGTGCCCCCATGATCTCTGCATCTAAAGCCTCTCCACCGTGCTTTATGCCACTTCCTTTTTGAAAGGTTTTCCCATCCAGCTTTAGGACAAACCCCCAAGCTGAGCGTCCCTTTCCCTCCGATGCTCCGTCCGAGTAAGCGCAGATTTCTGACTTTGGCACATTATTGATCCAAAGTTTACAGGCTTCTACTTGGTCTTTTCTCGGACGAACCTTCGAACCCGGCCGCGATTGATAAAATGGTGGGGCAAGAGGTTCCGTGGCCTCTGCCTCTGCTGGCTGTCTATAAGCACGCTGAGCCCGTGACATTTGAATTTCAGGACGCGCAGATTTTCGATTGTGCTTTTTATATTTTCGCGTACCGACATTTGGGCAAACTGCAGCACGGATCCTAAGCGGATGGCGGTCGTCAAGTGTTTGCATTCTGGCAGAGAGGCGAAGTCGGTTTCCTTCGAGAATGACTTTCCCGGTTGGTATTCCTCCTTCTCTATGTAGTACGGCGTTGGGGGTTGTCCTCATTACCGGTAGTGCTGACCTAAGACCCATTAAGACAGCCTTATCAATCATACTACATAGGCCAGCAGTAGGCGGTGTCACCATCCCTCGTATTGTTGGTCGTCTAAGGCCAGGCCACCAGACGTCAGCTCCGTACGTGGCGATTGGGACAATACATGTGTCGATCGCTTTAACCAACGCCCCAGGAGCGGCTCCTCGGTAGGCTGTATTGAAGCGACGCATGTGCTGTGCAATTTTCAACGCTTTGCCACACCAGGTTGTGACGTGGTGTTTGAAGTTTAGTCGAGGATCGAGGTACACACCAAGCCAGCGGACATTTTGCGACGGCTCTACGAGAGTTTCGTTGACATAGATTCCAACCGATGTTTCGCGGTATCGTCCGGGGAATTGTACGACTTCGGACTTGTCTGTATCGAAAGCGACAGCATTATTTCGAGCCCAGTCTAGTAGGTTATTGACCTCGTCCTGTGCTGCGGCTGCAGACTCTGCAATCGTCCGGCCAAATCCAAGGATACCAATATCGTCGGCGTAGTTAAACCTCAGACCCGGGGTTCCACTTCGCATGGGCTCTGCCATATATAGAAGGAAGAGAAGTGGCGAGATCGGTGAGCCCTGTGGAACTCCGCACACTAGCTCTCTCTTGGCAGTGACTCCCCCAGAGTATCGCACTTGAACCATCCGATTGGCGAGGAAGGAGCTAGTCCATTTGAGAATAGACTCCGGCCATCCCTGCTCCTGCATCCTCCTTACTAGTCGATTATGGAGTACCGCGTCGAATGCTCCTTGAACGTCCAACGTTACAAAAGTAGCTGCCCATCCTTGTGAATTTGCCTCTTCGATGTCGTGGACCACACATGAGACTAGATCCGTTGCTGAGCGCTTCGGCAGTGCACCACACTGTTGCTGGCCGACTACATCATGGATTACTGCAAGGTGTGCCATCCGCTTAGCTAAGAGCCTTTCTAACCCTTTTCCCAAGCATGAGAGAAGAGCAATTGGTCTCCAACCCTTGATTGTCGTTGGGTCTCTATCGTTCTTTTGAAGGAGGACCACCTCGGCTAATTTGAAACACTTTGGATGGGTGCCAAGCAGAATGCAAGCTCGGAACAGTTGGGAAATCCAAGGCCCGATTGTATTCCAACACGCCTCCAGCAGGTTTACGGAGACTCCGTCTGCTCCTGGGGCCGTATTTCCGCAACCAATGGTACAGGCTCGAACCTCTTCATCTGTTACGTCCTCTTCCCATGGTATCCGACTGCTGCTCGCGACTGTACATGGTGACAAGTCGTCTGATGCCTGAAATCGTGCCAGGAGGGAGTCACGAAGG